GCGAGCTTCTCCTTGGCCAGCGCCTTGACCGGGTCGGTGACGGCGTGCGGCTTGACAAAGACAAAGGCTTGGCTCTTGCCCGCCGGCACGCTGCCGCTGACGCCGGCGATCTTCTGGGCCTTCGCGAGGCAGTCGGCGTAGTCGAGGTCCTCGAGCAGGTCGAAGAGCGACTGCTTCTTCCCCTCGAAGGCCACCTGCGGGTCCTTGGTCCACTCCATGATCGTCGCCCGCGGGATCCCCGCCTGCAGCATCGCCTTGCCAAACGCGTCCTCCTCCAGCTTGGCGCCGACCCAGTTGAGTCGCTCCGCCATCGCCTCGAAGGGGGAGGCGGACGCGTGCATCCCGTTGTCGCCGACGTTCGGCTCGGACGCGAGGCCGAGCGCTTTCCACTTTGCGAAGATCTCCTTGCCTACGACGCGGGCTCGCGGGGTGAAGACGGAGCAACGAGTAGCTCTCACGAGTAGCTCTCAACGAGTAGCTCTCACGTGCGCTCCCGTCGGCCGCCATCGCTGGGTCGGTCCCTCCGAGCACCTTCTCGCGGAAGTCGCCCCAGGAGAGCTTCGCGGGGTCCCACTCGACGAGGTAGTAATAAATGGACGCGCTGGGCTTCGTGTACTTCTCGCGCATAGCCATGTAGAAGCCGTTGATTACAAATATCGAGCTTCGGATCTCGACGTAGGCGCCGTCCTTGCTCTGACACTCGGCAGCAGGCATGGCGAAGGAGGCCGCGGCGGCAGCGGCGGCGCCAGCGGCGGCGACCTTGAGGCCGGCAGACGAGCGGAGGCGCGTCACCGTGGAGCGGATCATGACACACGCAGTGATGCACACGCAGTGATGCACAGCCTTGTTATTGAGAAGAAAAACCACGTTCGCACAGGAAAGAATGCAAAGTTGGTATTCTGTGTGGTGGCGGCGTGCCGTCCTCCCATCCCTCCCTTGGGTGGTCTGTTTTCTTTCTTTCTTTTTCAAAGTGTCACGCGCGGGGTGGTGCGCAAAAGCCTCTTTGGTTTGTTGTTTTCTCTTTTGTTGTTTCTCTGTGTCTGCGAGACTGCGAGAGAGATTTTTGAAGACCAACAAGAAATCACGACTCTCACCACAGTGATTTGGGCTCGGCAGCTTGAGCACTTGAGCACTGGATAGGGCCGATTCCGCATGGTACGGGACCCCTCGATCGTCTCGCCCTCCCTCACTGGTGTGTTCATTGGGGGGGGTCATACGACAAACACGGTGCAGGATCGAGGTGCACGCTGCCGAGGCAGTGTCGTCCCCCCTCTCCCCGACGGCGATGGCGGTGTGACCGATCGAGCTACAAGAGGAGCTTGTTCAGCAGGATCTGGGATAGTCTGGCGCACTACCTCACTGGGCCTGAGACCGCCGAGACAGCATCCCATCACCCCTCCGGGTTTGCGTGGGGTCGAACCACTCCGGGATGGGCAAGCCCATTGTCTTATTTCAGTTCCCCTCGCACCTGCGAGAGTAGGCAGGGGTTGCATGGTCTATCTCAAGCGGCGCCTCGGCCAGGGGGAGGGGGGGGGGGAGGGGCCGGGGGGGAGGGGGGGTCTTCCCATCTTGTTAATTGTCAAAATTCCTGTTGTGCAAGAGGGGAGGGGGCTCTGACGGAGTGCGTGGCGGGAGAGGGCAGGGAGTGGGCGCGGGGGAGGGGGGGGGGGGGGGCTCAGCCGTGCAAAAAGCATCAATTAATAATAGTAAGGAAGACGTGTTGCCCGGCCGTTCAAGAAGTCCGTCTCGATTTTCGTTTTTTCCCCACAGACCACTCGGGCAACTTTTACGAAAGGCAAAGTTTTACTTGACCACTCGGGCAGATTCGATTGCATTTTACCACTCGGGCAAACTCGATGAAACGGGCGGACGGAAACGCGTTTGCGACGGCTCGCCGGAGAGCATGCATGGAGCGGCCGGTGCGCCGCCGCAGCTCACCGATGGAGCCTGCGTCGCGGCTCAATCCACTGACGTAGCAGCACTGCGACACACTCTCCAAGCACGGCCTCTGGCGTTGCGATTGCACAGAGAGCGAGCAATAGGCGCCAAAAGCACAGATCTGTGTGCAGTGGATTTCCATGTAGGTCGCGCCCAGCGAGCGGACAACCGCGGGTCTCGGATGCTCTCCCGGACGCGAGCCCATCGTGCGAGTGGCGGACCCGGAGGCGGCCGGCCCAGCTCACCCCCAGAGAGGCCATGGCCAGGGTCAGGCATAAAAGGCGGGGGTGTTTTTCCGTCCGTCCATTTACGGCAGCTTGTTAGCCCTCAGCCGAAGGCGAAGCTGGGGCCGGTCCCGTAGCCGAGAGAGCCCGCGCCGATGAGTTCGACGCGGTCGGGGGGGCCTTGCGGAGAGGCCAGCGAGGTGGCGATCGCTGTACTTCATGGTCGTCATCAAGTGACCGGCTGACAAGCCAGAGGTCGATACTCTGCACTGGACGACCCATAGGATGCCACGAATGCCTGGAGGAAGAGGGAGGCGAGGCAGCTGCTCTCGGGTGATCTCGCTTTGGTGGCCGAAGGACCCGATGGTCCTGTCACATTCGTGTTCCGAGTCGTGGGGGTAGATAATTTCGGGGTAGGATCGAGTCAGCACATCCTTGTAGTACAGCGGACCGCCAGGCTCGCCGGCAGCATCCGCAGGGAGGCAGCATATGAGGCACCAGTCTTCTGGAGAGCTCAGCAGCTGCGGCCGCGGTGGCAGAGTCGGCCGCGGTTCGAGCGAGCAGCTTTTGGCTGCGGGTTCGAATCGCGGAAGGCTCGTGCCCTCGCGGAGCGACGCGGGTCGCGCGGCGCGCGCGTGTGCGAAATGCGACAAAAGACGAAAGACGACAGGCGCCTGAGCGCTGTACGCCTGGACTTTTGTCGCCGCAATCGCCACCGCCGCCATCTTGACGAGCAGCGCGAGCGCGCTCGTCGGCGGCCAGCCGTCGCGGGCCGGGCCGAGCCCGGCCTCAACCGGCCGCGCCGCCGCAGCAGGCCCGGAGGCCCACATGGCGGCCGACCAGCTGATAACGTGTGATAAGGAGTCTCGTCTCTCTCAGTGTCTGTGTTTGTGCGTCGCCCATCTCTCCTGCAGCCTGGGGATGCACTCTATTTATTAGTAGCGCTGGGTCCCACGCGCACGCGCAGGATTTTGGACGGGACGATCAGGGGGTTTGGGCGTAATCGCTCCTTGTAGCTTGTTCTTGGCGATTGATCTCACGGCTCACGCCCCCCACAGCAAATCGGTTTTTGCCCTTAAATAGTGCTGTTTTCGTTGGGCTGATTTTCGCTTAACTTGGTCGGTTTGAGCACTTTTTTCAGGCAACGCCCACAGCAAATCGGTAAAAAGGTGGGTGCTAGTATGAGCCCGATACGTCGCAGTGCTCTTGCAGAGGCGGTTAGTGGTGCACTAACCCCGAGAAACCCTTCGGGTCACTCCTCATCGCAAACCCTGTCAGCAGTCCTCCTCCGGGAATGTACGTAAGAGCCACATACATTGAAAAACCTGCTCTGCAAGAGCGAGTTTTGTGGCTTGTTTGGCTTCATCGGTCGTCCCGTGCGTGACTGTCGCGCCGCCGCGTTGCACATTGGACACATGCTCTCGCGCGTGGCGGTGACGGTCGGCGCACGTGGCATCCTGAAAGGCCGCGCCTCGGGAGTCGAGCTGCCTCGACACAGCCGCGAGGGCGGACACTGGCCCTGCACGAGCCGGCTGTCGGGCGCTAACGCCGCCATCCCCCTCGGCGCGGCGAGCCTCAAGGCCTTCTGCATGGCGTACGCGGTCATCATGCGCCGGCCCAGGTTCGAGCGCATTCGCTCGCTCGGACGCCGCCGTCATCGAAAGGGCGGCTATCGCGACCTCATCGCCGAGGGCTCTCCGTGACGCTCTCGAGGAGATGCTTTGTTTGCGAGGTGGGCGACCGTGAGAAAGGAGACGGCGACGGCGAAGACGGCGGCGACGGCGGTGGGAACGCCGAAAACGCGCCGCGCAGCCAGCGAGGCGAGCATGCACTAGGCCTCGCCAGGCCCTCGCCAGGCAGGCCTCGCCATCAAAAGGCCTCGACAGGCCTCGACAGGCCTCGACAGGCCTCGACACCTCTATCCCTCGACAGCAGCTCGACACCCTCGACACCGGGCCTCGACACCTCGACACCAGGGGTCAGGGAGGCGGCTGGTGAGACAGTCACCATCGGTATGCGGAAGGGCGACCAGCTTGCAAACGGATCGAAGGACATTCCGTGCGAGCACAACATTCGTCACAACGGCACCATGTATGCGGCGGCCAACATGGTCCGTGCACGAGCCTGCGGCAAGCTCGTGCTCGGTGACAAGGCGAACCCTCAGACGACTTTTCATCTCAACGAGGGGCACGTCACCGACATGTGTGAGATCGGCGGGGACCTGCAGTCCCAGCGCAATGTCCACTACGAAGTCAAGGTGCCTAGCGCCCTCACAAAGACGAGGCAGGCTGGGCAGGGCTCGGCAGCACACGGCGGATGCTGTGCGTCACTCTGGGCCATAATTTGGTTTCGGCAGCACCCTCGTGCCTCGACCAAACTTGCTCAAGGTTCTTGGGTGCAAAGAGCGCGGCCACAAGTCACAGGGCCCGCTCGTCCATGCGACCGGCAAAAGGCTGGGTCAAAGAGCACAAGGGACAGTACTACGACGCGCTCCATGTAAAGAACGGAATCATCAAAATTTGTCTCGTCGAAAGCCTGGGCGGCATCGCGCCGCCAACCAAGAGAATCATCTTCAACTTCGCCAAAGAGGTCGGCAGCCCGAGCGCCGTCGACCGCACCGACTACGGCACAGCCTCCGGCAGCGCCCGGGACTTCGCCCAGCACCAACCACTCGCAACAGCTCTCTCGCGCCGCCGTCTGTGGCGATGCGCAAAACATCAACAACGCTGCTCGCAACATGCGTGTCGCGCACTCATTCATGACCGGTCTCAATGTCCCACCCCCCTGCGCGCGGGCCTTACCTTTTTTGCTTTTTTCTGTTTTAAATTCTTCTCATAACAAGGCTGTGAAGGGCCTCCAGGGCTCGCACCTCAACCTCTCACAGGCCAGCGCACAGCGCCATTCGACGTATTTTCTTCTCAATAACAAGGCTGTGAACGCGGTGAGTCGACTCAGCCAGGACGATGCAGCTTCACGAGCTTCTGTTCGACGCCATGCGCTTTGACGAGAGGCGCTTGCTGCTGGACTTGCTGGACCTGCGCGACGCCCAGGCTCTTTCGTGCACCCAGAAGTCATTCTGCGTCAAGCTATCACCGATGGACCTGGACCTGTTGGTCGTCGACGAGAACGCGTACACGTGGGCTGGCCGGCCGATGGCTTTGCCCGCGCCCTGGCACAACGGGATTTCCTTGGGCATGGGCATGCCGACGGGAACACTACTCAAGTGGACGTGCCGCATCACCGAGCACCGAGCATCCAAGCTCCCAAACCAGTGGGCAGCGTTTGGCCTTGAGTACGTGGACGACAGTGGCTGGCACATGCACCTCGTCTCGGACCGAGGCTGCGCGTATGTGGATGGCCGCCTTCGGCAGCAGCACGAGCTCCCCGAGCTCAAGGCAGGGGACGAGCTGCGCTTCACCCTCGACCTTTCCGGGAAGGGCTCACTGTCCGTCCGGATCAATCGTGGACCGCCGCAAGTGCTCTCGGGCTCCAGGGGCCTCGTTCCTGGTCGTGGACTTGCGAAAGATCGCGTTCGAGAAGTCTATGCGCGAGCCCACATCTGGGACGGCGCAATGGTCAAGGCTCGCAGCAGAATGCCGCGCACAGAGCGCAGAGCGTTGGGTCCGCACTGCGCCGTGACTTTCTTGCCCTCACAGGCGGAGTGAGAGGTGAGATGGCGGCAGCGGGAGGCCGGCGCGAGAGACGGCCCGTGCGAATCTTGGTGCTTCTAGACCCGACTTTGTGCGTGTTGGCGGACTTAGTTGTCCGGACGACAGTGCGCCACAAGTACTCTGCGACAAGAGATAGGTGAAGAGGCAGACGCCAAAGGGCAAACATTGGGGAGACGCAGACGCGAGACGGCTAGCATCTCATCCCTTTCCTTAAAATCCCGGTTCCCGCGGCGTGCCTCCCGCTCATCTGCTGTTTTCTTTCTTTCTTTGGTCACTTTGCTGACACCCTGGGAACAAATTAGAGTTGTTTGGTATTGCTAAAAATCTCTCTCACCCTGGGTTACACGCTTACACACGTGTCTCGCGTGTGTGTGCCAGTGTGCGTGCCAATGCGGATGCCGACGGCGCCCCCGGCCCTGCGTAGTGCTGTGAGCGGCAGCGGGGCGGGGGGTGAGGAGGCTCTCAGGGAAAGAGAGAGGCACAGTCACACAGAGGATGACTGACAGCCGCGAGGGTGAGGACTAGGCAGGAAGTGATATGGTGGAGCGCGGGGACGTGGAGAATGGTGTGGTGGCGGTCTGTGCTGTTCTTTCCTTTCTGGGTTCGACCCGGGCCAACAGTTTATGGTTTTTGCAAAAAATAACCGTTCGGTTACGTTTCGGTTACGTTCGAGGGGGCGCACGATACATGCAGCGGCTCCCGCCCGCCGCCCACCGCGTCGGGCGAGACCGGCGCATCGAGGAGCTGCTGCGCGCGCTCGACGTCGCGCCGCGAGCCGCCGGCGCGGCGCTCGCGCCGCAGCAGGCGCCGCGGCCCTACAGGGCCTTGGCGCAGGAGAGAGGAGCAATGCCGTCCGAGTCTGGCTGTGCTGGCTGTACGGGGGGAGTTGAGGAAGAGTGCGAGGTGGACGACGACCGTGGCCTCCTCGGCGGCGGCCGCGAGAAGGCGGCGGAGGAGGTCGTCGAGGAGGACCCTTTCGACGCCGCGGCCGACGCCGCTCTCGCGGCTGCCAGGCCACGCGCGGGTGGCGGCTGCTGCAAGTGGCACTCACCACCTACAAGGGCGTCCCACGCGGCGCCCCGCGACTGTACCGACAGACGGCTGGATCAGACGCTCGCCGTCGATACCAGCATGGAGCTATTCCAGTATGCCGAGCGCCAGGCCGCCGATCAGCTGTCGTCCGCCTCGGCTGTGGCCACCAAGTTGGCGCGCGCTCACGGCGCGCTCCTCGCGCGCAAGGCGTCCGGTGTAGCTACTACTACAGCGGACCCGGCGTGCGGCGTCGAGACGACTCCCGGCCCCGCTGGCGCTGAGGTTGCAGTCAAGGCGGAGGCGCAGCCCGCCAGCCTGCTGCCGCCTCCGAGAATGCCGCGGAGAATGAAGCCATCGCATCCCTCCAAGGGCGCGGCATCGTCTATCGGTGGCGCGCGTCCAGCAGCGAGGCTGACCGCAGCTCGATTGGCCGCAGTCTCTGCCTTGCCGTCACGGGCTGCGAGCGACATTGGCCCTATCACGGCCAAGGCACTCGTCGATGACAGCCGCGCCGAGCCGTCGCCGCCGCCGGGTTGTGGCGGGCGAATTCTCTCTCGACAAAAGGAGCAGGAAGATCTCATGATGGAGCGCAAGCTCGAAGCTTCACTCGATCGGCTCGACGCGAAACTCGCACAGCGCCGGCTTCGCCGGAGAGAGTGCGATGATGACACCGCCTCTGACATCTCCTTCGCCCCATCCGCATACTCGGTGGCGTCTGCGCCGGCTCGTGGCCAGTCCGCCTCGTCCGCAGTGCGGAGGCTCCGATCGGCCGTGGAGAATCCCAACCCCAATCTGCCGTGTAAGCGGCATGGACTGTCGCCGTGCCTGCTTTGCGCAGAGGCGGCGCTCATCGCCAAGCCGCCGCCGAGGCCAGCCCCGCAAGCGCTGCCGCCGCCGCCGCCGCCCCGCAGGGTCAAAAGCGCCCAGCCGGCGAGCCGCACCGAGCTGAGCAGCTATGCATCCACCCTGGACACGCGCTTTGGCCGCAAGCCGCACCAGAGGGCCCTTCAACCCCAGCAAAGGCGGCCGCCGCGACCGCCGCGGCCGCCGCGACCGCCGCTCAAGCCAGTCGTGCCACTCCAATCTGAGGGGCTTGGGATGCTGCCACATCCAGCCTACTGCCTGCCGCTGCTGCCGCACCTGGCTCCAGCTTCATCGGTTGCCGACCCGACTTGCTGGTCACAAGGCCCGCTCCCGCGAGAAGCAGAGCCACCGCCGGTCTCGGTTCCGGTTCCAGTGCCGGTGGTGCCGGTGGGCAGTGCTGCGTCCGACTCCGAGACGCAAGCTCTAATTTCGGTCTCCCCCGAAGCGCACGCCATGCTGTTTGGTGCATGCAGAGAGATGCCCCTGGAGTCGAGTTAGCGAGTCGACCGCCGTGTGGCGTGTGGCTGTCTTCTCTCTGTATGTAATTCGAGTACAAACCAACTCCCGCATACACACAATCGCACTCTGGCCATCGAATGACTCCGAATGACTCACTGTGTGTGCTACACTGTACACAAAAAAGAAAGCGCAAATGTGATAGCCCAGCGCTGGGGGAGCGACTCCCGTCTCCACAGCACGGTCCGCTGGACAGTACGTCAGTAGCTTACTCTACGTATGGGTAGTTGCTGTGTCATCAAAGCTCCTCGTCGCACGAGTGACTCATGCCATGGGGCTGCGTTCTGCTGCTCCCCGTTGCGTGCGGGGCTCGGTTGCGCACCCCACGGGGTTCTGCCCGAGTATGGCCACAGCGAGCCGTCGACCTCGGTGGTGCAGCGCAGCCTTGATCCACACGCTGCTGGCCCTCTCGAGCTCTGGTCAGTGAATGGGAGCGACATGCCGCTCGTCGATAGCTCTCTACGGCAGGCCACTCAGCCACCACAGATTCAGCCAAGGAAGTACAGCGCGGACAGGCATGGCGGGTCAGCTCCCGCCTCGTTGCGCCGCATGCACGCGCCGCCCCCCAGGCCGCACTGGGCGCAGTACAAGGTCTTGTTGCACCCGACACCGTCGTGGTGGTGTTGGCACTTCCACTGCCCTTTTTTGCCGTAGCCGCCGAACTCCTTGGGGTCGGTTGTGTCGCCGCACTTTGTGCATCGCGCCATCCGCATCAGGTCCCCAGCGCCCGCCCGAGGAGGCGCGGCGGGCGCGGCGGGTGCGGCGGGCGCGGCGGGCGCGGCGGGCGCGGCGGGCGCGGCAGGCGCGGCAGGCGCGGCGGGGGCCACGGGTGCGGCGGCGGCGGAGATGGCGGCGGGCGCGGCGACGGGTGCGGCGGGTGCGGCGGGTGCGGCGGCGGCGGCGATCCTGGCAGCGATAGCGCACTTGAGCTGGGCGCGCATCCCGTCGGCGCGCCGCTGGCCCGCCACGCTGCCATCGCCGTAGCTCTGCCCCGCCGTGCTGCCGTGCATCCCGCCAAAGGCGCCGGGCGTGGCCGTCACCACCGTGTCGTACCGCGCCGCGGGCGGGGGCGGCCACGAGCCGCCCGCCGCGGGCGTGTGCGTCGCGACGACCTCGCCGTCGCGGTAGTAGCGCCGCTTCAGCTGCAAGTGTCCGAGCACGCACGCGCGGTCGGTGACCACGCGGTCCCACGTGCGCGCGGCTGGCGCGGCGGGCCAGTCGCCGCCGTCGGAAGGGTAGTGCACGGCAGCCACGACTCCTTTGAGGAGATAGTAGCGGATGATCTTGTTGCCGTTGTCGCGAGCCGACCGCGCCGCGCTCTCCGCCGCCGCCGCCGGCGAGAGGGCGTCGCCAAAGCCGGGGATGTCGGCAGGGCGGAGCGAGTTGGCGCCGGGCAGCTGCAGGCGGATCTGGCGAAACGCCTCGTAGACGGCAGCGTCAAACGCGGCGCGCGCGGGGCACGCGATGCGGTTGAGCTGGGCGATGTGGGGCATCGTCTGGGCGAGCGAGTCGGAGGCGCAGCGGATCCAGTTGGCGAGCGGCTCTCCGCCGTACACAAAGTACTTGCCGTGCTGGATCTCCGTCTCGTTGAGGAGGCACGAGAAGGCGGAGCCAGCGACGGTGCGGCCGAGCGCTGTGCACAGCGGAGCCAGCTGGCCGAACGTCTTCCGCGCCGGCTTGCCAAAGGTCAGGAAGGCGCCGATGAGCACGCCGCCGTTGGCGCACCCGACGGCGACTGTGGTGCGTGGGAGAGGGGCGGAGAGCCGTGGGGGTTGGTCAAAGTGCGGCTTGGGCGAGGCTGGCGCACGCGCGGCGAGGGGGGGTCGCATGCTGAGCCGGCTTTGGCGGCGCGCACCCATCTCGAGCAGACGGTACTCGGGCGCCGAGAGCTCCTCGCCGCAGCGCGCGCCGAAGAGGCCCTCGGGGTTGGCGCCATCGGGCGCGGCGCGGCCCTTGCCCGTGCGGCCGCAGCACACGAGGCGGCGGTTGAGGCCGAAGAGCAGCGGCACGAGCTCGGGGCAGACGGCGTGGATGGCGTGCACCAGCGCGAGGATGCCCTTGACCGTGTCGCAATCGCCGCGCTGGATGGCGCGGCGCAGCAGCTCGAGCACGCCCGGGCCCTTGCTGCGAGCGGCAACGGTGGCGAAACGTGCGGGTGGCTTTGCGTGGCTCACGCGCGGGTCTGTGGAGAACGGTGGAGGGCACGCCGCGCGGGCGGAACGGCTCACCCGCAAAGCATGCCGATGACTGCGATGACGACGTAGCCGGGCACGCCGCGGCGCGAGCGGACGAGCTTGACGAGCGCGTGGATGAGGGGGTTGTGCAGCGCAGGGAAGTCGTAGCGGAGCACGCGCTGGAAGTGGTCGTCACCGGCGGGGAGGATGTCGACGAGCGACCACTTGTGCTTCTGCGCAAGTGGCGGGCGACGTCCCTTGTCAGAGCGCAAAACGCGCGACGACACACGCGCTCACGCGGGACGGGGCGTTGCTAACTGTGCCTGCATCTGAGCGACAAAGGCAGCCTCCGCTTCGCCGAGAGCAACCAGGAAGCGAGCGACCTGCTGCGTGCGCCCCCCGCGCCCATCCGTGCCCCCGACCCCCTCAATGGAGAAGACCTCGCGGTTGTACGGCTGCCCATTGGCAGCCTTGCAAAGCTCCGCGTGCATGCGAGGTGGGAGCGCCTACGCCGATCGCATCGCAACGCTCGAGCCGAACGAGGGCGGGCACAGAGCGACTGCAGACGCACCGGCGGACGCGCGGCGGATGCGCTCGGTCGGGGCGCGGAAGCGACCAGGGCGCCGCCTGGCGCAAAAGAAAAATGATCCGATCAGCGAGCGATGCGGCGTCTGGAGGGGTTGGGTGCGAAGGGATCGGGCTGGTGCAAAGGGATAGGGCGTCGCGAGGCTGCTGCACCGTTGGTACCGCCGCCACTGGTGCCGCCGCTGGAACTGGAGGGGCGGGCTGGCAGCGGAGCGCCCAGGCCGCCGCAGCCGGCGGCGCCGCCGCCGCCGCCGAAGCCGTCGAAGCCGAAGTCGCCGCCGCGGTTGTCGCCGCCGCCGCCGCCGCCGCTGCCGCCGCCGCCGCCGCGAGGGAGGGGCGGGGGGGCGGCGGGCGGAAGGCGAGGGGTGGCACTCGGCGGCGCGGACTGCCCGAGGGGGGCAGCGGGCGCCGCGCCGCAGGCGGGGCCGCCGCCGCCGAAGCCGAAGCCGTCGAAGCCGAAGTCGCCGCCGCCACCACGGCGAGGCCCGCCGCCGCCGCCGCCGCCGCCGCCGCGCAGCAGCTGGTCCAGCACGCTGGGCGCGCCACCCTGTGTAGGGCAGACACGCCCAGGCTCACGACGGCGAAGGCGAGGGAGCTTTGCGCGGGGCGAGGGAAGCGACGGTGAGGGCGGCAAGGTGGCGCTGCGCGAAGGTCACGCGCAGCTACGGGCGTGCGGGGGCCGCGGTGTGCGGCGGGGGCGCGGTGTGCGGCGGGGGCGCGCCT